AGGGCCCCGAATAGCACGTGATTCTCTGACACTTCACTCCGTCTCGTACGTGTCCAGTTGAGCCGCCGGTCTGCGCCATCTCCGACAGCGTGGCAACGATGCCCTCTGCTATCCACCTGCACAGCCGGGGTGGGTAGGTGGCCAGCTTGGTCGTCCGAAAGTCCCCGTTAACCTCACCGTAGCTCAGCTCGTGCGCGCGGGCGCCGTCGCACCGTAGTGCTTCGGTGGCCGCCAGTCGCACCGCACCTGTGACCCTCGTGGGCTTCTGCGAGGGCCCGCCCATCATGCATTGGTCAAAAGATGTGCCGCGCTCCCGTCCTGGACTCCAGGCCCTTCCAGATCTCGGCGTCGAAGATGGACGGATACGGGCCCTCCCCAGGGTCGTCTGGATGCTCGAGTGCCCAAGCTCCCCCGCGGTCCCCCACCCCGCCGCACAGCGCCAGGTGATTGACCATCAGGCGGTTGCCCACGTCCAGTCGTTCCACCTCGGAAGGTCGTAGTCTCTCCCAGGGCAGCCCCCATGCGCACTTCCCTCGGCGGCGCAAGGGTCGTGGGCCTCCAGGCCTGAACCTCGCACGGCTCCAAGTCGAGCAGGGGGGGCCGCCCAGGATCACGCCCACCAAGCCCTCGGCCACCAGGGACCAGAGCAGCTCAAAGGTGTCGACGCGCCCGAGGTCCCACCGCGAGTCCTCGGCCAGGTCCACCGAGATCATGAGCACCTTCAGCTCCAGGTCGGCCATCATCGCCTCGACGAGGTGCTGCACGTCCTGCCCCCTCCGGGCCCCCGCGAACAAGTGCATGACCACGAAGACGCGGGTCTCCTGACGACGTGCGTGACGTATTGCTTCGCACCAGCTCGCCACGGAAAACCCGCTCGGGTGGGGGGGTGCCATCTCGTCGAAATCGTTGGCGCTCGGCCCAGTCGTCGTCCTTCAGCATCTGGTATCCGGCCTGCCACGCCAGAGTGCGCTCATGCCGTGAATCCACCAAGCTGCGCCTCAGCGTCATGGAGCAGATCCTCGCGTTGATTGACATCAGGATGTGCACGCTGTGGGAGCTGCCCATGACCAAACGGCGCCACATCGGGTAGACCCAACTCTCAGGTTCCAGAGATTCTCACTGGCTGGGCGTCAGGCGCCACCAGACGGCGGACGCCTTCACGGGCGGCACGCACTGCCACCCCACATCCAGCTCGGAACCTCTACGAAAGAGAAGGCGTTGCTCTCGTCGAACGCCGCGGCAGCCCTGTCGCCCGGCGGGACGCGTAGGCTGGCCAACGCGCCTCCTCCGTGTAGTCCGTGTTCAGCTCGCCCCCTCACGCCCTGAAACATATAGTTAGCCGCCACCATCATGATGATCTTGCGCTGCCGCCCGCTGGTCTTCTTTTCTTGCCTACCGCGCTGAAGCCCGCGATGGCCCCCACCTCCTGCGGGCCCCCGAAGTGCCGCAGGTTGGGCGGCATGTCCGCGCGGCTGAAGTACTTCTCGTACTCCTCCTGAGTTCCTCCAACGAAACCGAACTTGGCGAGCAGCTCCTCAAAGATCACGCGGCTGCGCAAATCCGAGGGGGCGACCACAAGCCCCTCGTCGCTGCAGTACCTGGCCTCCTCCGCTCGAGCGCCTCGAGCATGTTAACACTCTTCGCTACCTGCGGCTCATCAATGTCCTCCGCTCTCAGGGCCCCATGGGTCGACAGGCGGGTAGGCTTGCCGTAGCCCACCTCCTCCACACGAGCTAGCTCCAGCACCGCGGGGACGCCTGTCAGACCGCACACCCGGCGCGCCTCTGCCAGCCGTTTAGCTTCTCGTAGAGCTACCCTATGCACCTGGCCGCGCAGCCCCCGCATGTTCTCCGACAAGCTCTCCTTGCGGCGGGGGCGGGTGAGGTCCTTGCACGAGCCCGTGCCCATGGAGTTGATCCCCTGCACGAACTCGTTGGCGAGAGCCCACAGGGTGAGCCTCCGCTTGAATCGATGCCGAAGTCGACTAGATCGACTCGTCAACTGGGTCGGGCGATCCGCCAGCGCGATGGGAAAGAACGCCTCCTGTCCCGGCTGTGCCGAGATCACCTGCTGCAGCGAGGGGTGTAGATCGTCACGCACTCTAGGCACCCACACCGCTGTTGGGCTCCGCGCCCCGACGGCAGGCTCGTCGGGGCGCGCCGCGAGCCCCTACTGATGCTTGGAGTCGGCGGACTTGCCGCCACGACCTCCACCTCGACCTCCTCCGCGACCGTCACTACGACCGCCGCCCTTGTCGTTCTTGCGCCTGTGGCGTGCCTCAGCCTCGACTCTCTCCCTGCGCTGGTGCTCGATCTTCGAGTGCATCGTCGCTGAGGCCACCATCCACGTCGGGGCCACGTCGGCTGAGCCGCCAGGCGGCGCGATGCCCAACATGTGCTGGGCCCCGACGCGGTCGCCGCTCCGCTGCTCGTATACGTATGCCGCGAGGCGGCGGAGGCCGATCTCCATCATGTCGTCCTTGGCCAGCACCTGCATGATCTCCAGATCGCTGCCGCAGTCGCGGAGGCGGAAGTCGACCGACGTGGCTAGGGTCCACAGGTCGACCCAAACTGGGCTGGTCCGGCTCCCCTGGCACCGCTGAGCGATCCAGTCACGCGCTCTCGTCGACCCCTCGCCTCTCATCGCCCTGTAGATATCAGGGGCCGCTCGCTGGAGGTCCGCGGGTAGCGATGAGCCCCATCGCGTCTCCTCCGAGCCTCCCGCGGCGGCGGCCAGGCCCTGGCTGGGGCTTAGCCTGCCAGATGCCTGCGCCAGCGGTCAGCGCGGCCTCCGACGCGAGGCGGCCCAGTGAGGCGCCGAGCTCCTCGTGGCGGGGGGCCGTCACCGTCTGCTCCCCCACGTAGCCGAAACCCGCCAGGAGAGGCTTCACCTCGGGCAGCAGCTGCCCGCTCGAGTCCAACGTGTGGATGTTGGACCAGAAGCGGCGACCCCACATGTAGTCCTGGCCTCTGGCGTTCGCGAACGCCGTCAGCAGCTCCTTCACCTGCTTGGCCTGTTGCCGGACCTTGTTGTCCAGCTCGGGCGGCCTGTACTGCGGGACGCCAGGCGGGCTCCCTGCGGCGGCAGCGGCACCCGCCTCTGGGGCGGTCGGGGCGGCCAAGCCCGCCCACGCTCCCAGCGCGTCCAGGCTCGCCGCACCCGCGGGTGCCTGGGCGGCCAGGCCCACGGAGGCCCGACGGGTCCTGTGGCTGGCCCCGCCATCGTCACGCCTGGCACCTGCGGGATCCCCGGCGGCGGTGCTCCAACGTCGGCCCACCCGTGCATGGCACCGTCGGGCGGGCCGCCGCCTGGGAATCCTCCGCCTGGCATGCCCATCGCTCCCGACAGGGCCAGCTGCTGCATCTGGGCCGTGAGGGAGGCCATCTGCGCCTTCGTCGCCTCCTGGTCACAGTAGAGCCACCACGCCTGGCGCGCGACCCGCGCCGTGGCGAGGAGGCCCACCAGCCCGCAGACGGTGAGGCCTGCGAGGCGGGCACGACCCGTCGAGCCCAGCTGGGCGGCAAGGGCGCCTCCTCCGCCCGTCAGGGCAAGAAGTCCCCACGCCGCCGCGAGCCACCAGCTGCCTTGGCTCGCGTCGGCTGCTGGGCCCTCTGGGGCTGGCGGCGGCGGCTCGCCTCCTGGGACAGCGTCCAGCCCGGGCGGCGCGGCCGCCGCAGCCGCATCGCCCCCCAGCGTCATGGCGGGCCCGTCTGGTGGAACACAGCGGCACCCCTCTGGGTGCCGCGGGGGAGACCTGCAAGAGGGTGCCCGCGGAGGCACCTCGAAACTCTGATCAGTGAGTCATGGTGCCTTGAACTTGAAACGGTTTCGGGCGCAGGCAAGACCTGGAGACAACGTCCGAAACAACAAGACATGTCCCACCCTTTGGCCTCTTCGCTAACCTATCTGAAAATCAACGTTCACAAACTCACTCACCCATACACGCATACATACATTACATGCATGCATACATATATACATACATACATGCGTACACGCATATGCATACATACATACATACATACATGCATACATACATACATACATACATGCATACCTACCTACCTACCTATCTACCTACCTACATACATACATACATGCATGCATGCATACATGCATGCATGCATGCAAACATATATACATACAGCCATACGTACATATATATATATATGTATATATATATATGTATATAGACATTGCATGTATGCATGCGTGCATGTATACACACATGCATACATACACGCATGCATACATACGTACATACATACATGTGGGCATGCATACATATATACATACCTGCATGCATGCATGCATACATGCATACAAACAACCAAAGAAACAAACAAACACACACATAAACACACAGGCGCACATACATATAGCCTTTATATATACATACATGCATACAGATCTGCATGCATGAATACAGACATACCTGCATGCATGCATGCATACATGCATACATGAACGCATCCATGCATCCATACATACAGATATTCATAAATGTATACATGCATGCATGCATACATACATACCTACATGCATACATACATACATACATGTATGCATGCATACATACATATATGTATGTATACACATACCTGCATATATCCATACATGCATACATACACACACGTGCATGTATATGTACGTACATAGTTACATATATGCATGCATACATACAGACATGCATGCGTATATTCATATACCTACATACATGCACGCATGCGTGCATGCATGCATGCATACATACATGCATACATGCCTGCATGCATGCACGCCTGCATGCCTGCAGGCAGGCAGGCAGGCAGGCAGGAAGGCAGGCAGGCAGACAGGCATACATTCATACATACATACATACATACATACATACATGCATGCATACATATATATATATATATATATACACATACATATATACGTACGTCGCGCTCGACGCGGCGCCCGCGGCGGGCGCCGCGTCGAGCGCGGGGGGTGGGCGGCCCGCCCCCCGCGCTGTCCGTCATGGTCAGGAGGAACCTCCCGTCGTCGCGCAGGTTGCTGACCCAGACCTTGACCTCCTGACCTTCCTCTTGGCGGCGCGCCCCGGAGGGAAGGCAGAGGGGGCGGAGCTTCCCAGAGGGCTCAGAAGGCCGAGAAGCTCTCCGAGCCCTCTCCAAAGGCACAGGACGGCCTGTCAGTATGCGCGAGGGCTTCCGAGAAGCCCCGCCGCCTACTGACAAGGCCTGCCCTCCCTCACGCCCCCCCCGCGCGCCGCCAATCCTTGAGCACCGAGTGGATGTCCTCGACAGGGTCCTTGGAGATGGCGGAGATGTGCAGCAGCCCCTTGTTGTCGGCTCCGATGTCCACGAAGGCGCCGATGTCCGTCACGGAGTGCACGGTCCCCTGGAACTCCTGGCCGTACTTGAGCGTCCTGACCCGGATGTCCTCTCGGGTGTTCGCCAACGGTGTGTGTGTGTGGGGGGAGCAATACACGTGGGGTGAAGACACACCTCTCGTGCACCTTATGGGCCCGCGGGTGGTAGTTTCGGGGCCACTTGGGGAAGCCAAAAGGTACCAACACCGCCGACTCCCCTGACCTCTCCTGGGGTGCGCCCTGACCAAAATCGCGACGCGAATCCAGCGGTGGAGACGAGGTTCTCCCAGGAGGCCCAAAAAAGGCAAAGGCGAGGCAAGGGTAGCGGTACCCAGACATGCTCGCGTCGTGGAAAAAAACACCCAAAAAGACGCTAGGCTTTTCACCGTAGGTCCCACGGACAGGGTCGGAATGTCCTTGGAACCAGTGTGGTAAGTACCCAAACCGTGTACCCAACCCGTGCACAACGCATGGCCAGACTAGCTGGGTAGACTTTCTAGGGGGTGAATGATGACGTGGAAGTATTTCTTCTGGAAACGGTTCTGGGCGGCTCGCGGGGCGGGCGACTCGCAGGATACCGACCAATGGACAAGGGCTTGATGGAGGTGGTTCATTCATTCCCTGGGTCGAGAGGAGAGAAAGTCGAGGACTACGAAGAGGAGGCGCACGGGGAGTTGGACACGTTGGCGGGACAGCAGCAAGACACGGTAGCGACAGAAGTCGGTCAGAGGAAGGAGAGAGGTGATGTTTCGAGGTATGGCGGAAATCGGCCTTCGAAAGTCGCGGCAGCTTGGCAGATCGCAGCCCCCCCCCCCAGGGATTCAGGGGTGGCGAGGTCCAGTCTGGGTCTGCGTAAGGCGCCCCGCCACACTTGGCTGGGCCCCCCCAACAGCCATCCAAAATGACGACAGTTTGACAGCAATGGAAACTTGTTCAAGATTCTGCAGAACTTCCTGCCATGCAACCAGAAGGTGGGTTTCTCAAGGAGAATACGCAAGACATCACAGTGGAAGAATTACGTCGCGCAGTCAAGTCTCTCTCAAAAGGACGAAAACAGCTGGCAATGACGGCGTGCCGCCGGACTTGTGGCAAGCTGTATGGCAAATGATGCGGCTCTTGAGATTATCTTGGACCTTTGCAATATATGCTGGCAACAGAAAAACATGCCCGAGGAATGGCGGGAAGCGTCCATCGTTACTAATTTCAAGAAAGGTGACACTTCACAGCCTAGCAACTACAGACCAATATCGCTTCTGGATGTTGGATACAAAGTACTGGCAAGTATTATTCTGCAAAGGCTAGAACTTGGTGGTGCGAAGAAATCTTTAAGAGAGTCTCAGTATGGATTCCGCCCTGGACGAGGCACGACTGACGCTCTGTTCTTGGCGCGCCGGCACATCGACGCAACTTTGGACGAGAAAGAAGGGAGCTTGTTACTATGACTACTTGACTGGCGTAAAGCGTTCGACAGAATCCGCCACTTTCGCGTGCCCCCTGCCATGGTCGACATGGTGCAGGCGATCGACCGGGGACCAGAAAGTTCATTGTCAAAGATGGGAATACAGCCACCACCGCTAGAGTCCAGGCTGCGGGCATAGCCCAAGGATGCCCATTATCACCATATTCATCATCGTCATGTTGGTGCTTCTGGAGGCGGTGGACAAAAAGCTGGAGAGGTCTGCTTACGACAATGGTTCGAACAATTATGCGGTTACAAAAGATGTGTTATATGCCGACGACACGATGCTCGTAACCACATGCCTGGCAGCTCTTCAACTTCATCTGGATGGCCTTCTACAAACTGGGAGAGCATTTGGTCTCGAGCTCAACGCGTCGAAAACAATACTTTTAAGGATCCGCTCAGAAGCGAGTGTTACAGGCCCAGATGGCAACCCGATCGCGTGCAAGGACCACGCGGTGTATCTTGGAGGATTGTTGAGCGCTGATGGGAACCCCAGAACCGAGGTAACACGAAGGCTTGGGGAAGCAAGAGGGGCATTCGACAAGATTTGTACAGTATGGAATCACGCCAACGTGAGCAAACATCATCAAACCAAGGTGTTGGACGTCCGTATATTTCCGAAGCTTTCGTATGGGCTGGAAAGTTGTGTTATTGCCAGAAGACAGGGCCCGACTGGACAGTTTTCAAGCGAAGTGCCTCCGACGTATCCACAGAATTCCGCCTGCGTACGTTTCACGAATAAGCAATGCGACAATGAGATCAACAGCGAACGTCAAACCATTATCCGTACTTCTACTACGACGTCAACTGCAACTTTATGGTAAGCTGGCAGCAGCCTGTCCAGACAGCCTTCCAAGGAGCATGGTGTTCAAGACGGGAGTGGCAGTCGACACGCAGCCAAGAGATTGGGCCAGTGCTCGCGCCAGGTGGCGCCCGCGCTTGCAGTGGACAAAGTACATGCGTGCGAGGGTTCTACAGGCAGCGGGAAGTAACCAAGATCGATTGCAATCCCTGTTGCAGGGAGCCCCACATGAGTGGCGCAAGGCCGTAGAAGAATACGGTCGATAGTTTTTCCCCTCTCCCCTCCTCCCCTCCCTCCCTCCCTCCCTCCCTGCTCCCCCCCTCCCCCTTCCTCGAATACAGATGCGGCTCTCCTTCGCGACGCTCCGGAAAGAAGGGTCCAGCGCTTGTCCACCGAGGCACTGCGTCTGCACGCAGATCTTCTTGCATGTGTTTCAAGTATGTCTTCCGCATGCTATTTTCTGCCAATGCGCCGTCAGGGCGCGGCTCCTGCCTGCCTGCCAGCCCCCCCGGGATGGCGAGGTCAATCCTGAATCTGCGTCACTCCGCTGGAGCCCCCAGCAGCCCTCGAAAGCGGCGACAGGTTCGTACTTCGCAGCCCCCCAGAGATGGCGAGGTCCCGCTCTGATCTGCGCAGCGCCGCGCTAAGCTGGTCCAGCCAGCAGCCCTCAAAAGAAGCGACAGTTTCGCTGATCGCAGCCCCCCAGGGATGGCGAGGTCTAGTCTGAATTTGGGTAGGGTCTCACCGTGCGGCCCCTCGCCGGCAGCCTCGAAAGTGGCGACAGCTTCGCAAATCGCACACACACACACACACACACCAGGGATGGCGAGGTCTGGTCTGAATCTGGGCAGGGCCCCACTATGCTGCCCCTCCCCCAGCAGCCCTCGAAACCTGCGACCGCTTCGCAGCTGGCTGGCAGCCCCCCCAGGGATGGTGAGGTCGAGTCTGCGTCTGCGCAAGACCCCCACGAGGATGGGCCCCGCACCAGCAGCCCTCGAAAGTGGCTACAGTTTCGCAGACCGCAGCCCTCCAGGGATGACGAGGTCGACCCTGAATCTGCGCAAGACCCCCGCTATGCTGCCCCCCACCAACCGACCCAGCAGCCCTCGAAACTGTCGACGGTTTCGCAGATCGCAGCCACCCAGGAATGAAGAGGTCTAGTCTGAATTTGGGTAGGGCCCCACTGCGCTACACACCCCAGCTGTTCTCGAAAGTGGCGACAGCGGTGCAGATCCCAGCCCCGCCCCCCCCTCCCAGAGATAGCGAGGTCGAATCTAGAGTTCGGATATGGCCCCACCATGCACCCCCCCCAGCAGCCCTCGAAAGTGGCTACAGTTTCGCAGGCTGCAGCCCCCCCCCAGGGATGGCGAGGTCGAACCTGTATCGGGGCATGGCGACATTGTGCTGCCCACCCCAGCAGCCCTCGAGAGTGGCGACAGGTTCGCAGATCGCAGCCCCTCAGCAATGGCGAGGTCAAACCTGAATCTGAGTATGGCGACACCGTGATGCCCAACGCCCCCCCCCCAGCAGCCCTCGAAAGTGGCTACAGTTACGCAGACTGCAGCCCCCACCCCCCAGGGATGGCGAGGTCCAACCTGAATATGGGTATGGCGACACTGTGCTGCCCCCCCCAGCAGCCCTCGAGAGTGGCGACAGGTTCGCAGATCGCAGCCCCTCAGCAATGGCGAGGTCAAACCTGAATCTGAGTATGGCGACACCGTGATGCCCAACACCCCCCCCGCAGCCCTCGAAAGTGGCTACTGCCTTGCAGACTGCAGCCCCCCCAGGATGGCGAGGTCCAATCTGAATATGGGTATGGCGACACTGTGCTGCCCCCCCCAGCAGTCCTCCAAAGCGGCGACAGCTCCGCAGATCGCAGCCCCTCAGGGATGGCGAGGTCTAACCTGAATCTGAATATGGCGACACCGTGCTGCCCATCCCCCACCCCCCCAACAGCCCTCGAAAGCGGCTACAGTTTCACCGGCTGCAGCCTCCCCCCCCAGGGATGGCGAGGTCCTATCTTAACTTCGGTACGGCAGCACTGCGCTGCCCCCCCCCAGCAGCCTCCCAGAGCGGCGACAGGCTCGCAGATAGCAGCCCCTCAGCAATGCAGAGGTCCAACCTGAATACGAATATGGCGACACTGTGCTGCCCAACACCCCCGTCCAGCCCTCGAAAGAGGCGACAGTTTCGCTGATCGCAGCCCCTCAGGGATGGCGAGGTCTATAACCTGAATCTGAATATGGCGACACTGTGCTGCGCCCCCCCAAGCAGCCCTCGAAAGTGGCTATAGTTTCGCAGGCTGCAGCCCCCCCCTCCCAGGGATGGCGAGGTCGAAACTAAATCTGAATATGGCGAACCCGTGCTGCCCAGCACCCCCCCCCCAGCAGCCCTCGAAAGTGGCTACAGTTTCGCATGCTGCAGCCCCCCAGGGATGGCGAGGTCCAATCTGAAACATAGGTGCGGCGACACTGTGCTGCCCCCCCCCCCAGCAGCCCTGCAAAGTGGCGACATGTTCGCAGATCGCAGCCCCTCGGGGATGGCGAGGTCGAAACTGAATCCTGAATCTGAATATGGCGACACCGTGCTGCCCAACCCCCCACCCCCCAGCAGCCCTCGAGAGTGGCTAACAGTTTCGCAGGCTGCAGCCCCCACAGGGGAAGTCCGAACCGAATCCGGGCATGGCGACACGGTGCTGGCCCTCTCCCCGCAGCCCTCGTGGCTGCAGCTTCGCTGGCTGCAGCCCCCCCCCCAGAGAGGGCGAGGTCCAATCTCAATCTGGGTATGGCGACCATGTGCTGCCCCAC